TAGTTCTGAAATGTTTGTTTTAAATGTTTCTTAAAATACACTGGAAAGGAGGGAGTCAAGGTAGGATTGTTCTAAACCCATGTAATTACTGGGGAAGGAGAAAACACTCTGAAAAGAGAAAGCATGTTTAAAGCCATTTAAAATGGGAAGAATGAATTACATTTAGGTTATTTCTCAGCCCTTTAAGTTCAGACAAAGTATCCATGGACTGTTCATGCTAGGAATGCATGAAAATAAAAACCTATAATGTTTCCTACAGTGTCATGGTCCACACAGTTGGAGTTCATGTTCTTTTGTGTTTGTGTCTTTCTTGCTTTCTTCATGGTACTATGGACTGAACCCAAGGCCTAGTGTGCAATGGCAGAGACAAGTGCTCTGTCACTGAGCAACATTCCCAGCCTATTTGCACATTAATTTTCAAGTACAACTCTTAACTCTAGGGCTGGGGTTATATATTTGCTAACACCCTGGGCTAATCCCTAGTACCAGTCCCCAGGACCCTGACTTGAACACAAACATTTTATGCAAGACAGAAAAGAGAGAGTTGAAGAACAGGAGTCAAAGATTTTAGTGAATTAAAAGGTTTCAAACTGGAGAGATGGCTCAGAGGTTAAGAGCACCGACTTCCAGAGTTCAATTCCCAGCAACCATCTGTTATGAGATCTGGTGCCCTCTTCTGGTGTGCAGATACACATGGAAGCAGAATGTTGTATGCATAATAAATAAATAAAATCTTAAAAAAAAAGAAAGAAAGAAAGAAAGAAAGAAAGAAAGAAAGAAAGAAAGAAAGAAAGAAAAGGTTTCAGAGAAAGCCAGGGTGTGTGCACGCATGAGTGGAATGAAGAATAGAGTTTAAAGTACTACACCAGCTGGGCTTGGAAAGGCATGTATGCAATGCCAGCACTTTGAAGGCAGAGGCAGGAGGATCAAAAGTCCTAATGGAGCAGCCTGGGCTAGAGATTAAGACTCTGTTTAAATTTAAAAAAAGAAACCAGAGTGTCTGTTCCTAAGGGTAAGGCAAAACTTACCCTTAGGTCTTTAATACAGAAGAAATTTGCAAAATAAAACAAATGATATCCCTAAAGCAAAAACATGTTGTCAGCAACAGGAAGGCATTAATACTAAAGTGAAATTCTAAGTTACCAGTTCCTGGAGGGACAAACTACAGAAAAAGCAGCCCTGATACTGAAGCTTCGGAGCCATGTGGAACTGGGTTTGTACACCTACTTGCTCAAATGCTGCCCATGAGGCCATCAGCAAGTCATTACCAACACCAAGATTTTCTTAGGAACCTACATTTTCTTATATTTCAATAACAATACAGAGTTGTTATTGAAAGTTGCTATTGAAGACAACAGCATCTCCATAAATAAAAGTGTCATTGTCACTATTGGAATACTTAAGCCTGCTCTATGTGCCACAGCAACAGAAAGTTATTACCTGCTGAGCCTTGGCAACAAAAGTTGCTTTTTAAACTGTTAATAATGAAACAAACTTGAATGTCCTTTTAGTGCTTTTTTTGGAGCTTCACTAAGTCTTCCTCAAAATTACTTAACCAACAGAGAGACAACTGACTGGCTTGGCAATTATTAATTAGACCCAGATTCTATTATACAAAACGGTAATTTATAGATTTATAGGGTGTGTGTGTGTGTGTGTGTGAGAGAGAGAGAGAGAGAGACAGAGACAGAGAGAGAGACAGAGACAGAGAGAGAGAGACAGAGACAGAGAGAGAGAGAGAGAGAGAGAGAGATCAGACCACATGGTTTCTGTCTAGGGAAAAACTAAGGCTCCAACCTCACAGTTCTCTAGAACACAAGTAGCTGTGCCTGTAACTTAGCAAAAATGTGTTTTGAATGCCTTTCCTGTTAGACTATATAAACTGATGCTCTGATTCTCTTGAGCCAAGCTGCAAGATCTTTCCTTAGTGAGAAAAAATTTTAAAAGGCACATGAGGAATCTTAGTTTGAACTAAAAGTCAACATTAACTTTAAAAGAACTCGCAAGTTTCTCTCTCAAAGATTGCTATTACTAACTACAAAAATGGTAGCAGAGAACAAAATGACAATGACACTGTGGTGCAGGGAGTCACACAGCACATACTTCCAACTCCATCATTCATACCTTGGTTTGAAAATGAATTCTGTTTCCTTCCTTCCACATCTCAGTTTGTAGAGTTTGTCCTGGATACACTGGTTTGGCAAAACGAACCTATTAAAATAAGTGTTTTAGCAAGTGAAACTTCTACTTGGCAGGGAAGTTTCAGGGAAGGTAAAAGGAAAAAGGTAGAGAATTAAATATATTAAGCTTCATAGAAGATATCAAAAATGTAGAAAACTAACAAAGAAAGGACACTGACAGTCATGCACACACACAATAAGCAAGTTCTTTTCCCTCAAAACAAGAGAACCAGGGCTGGGAACACAGCTCCTTACTGGTGGAGTGTTTGCCTAGCTTATGTGAAGCCCTAAATTCAATTCCCAGCATTTGGTGGAGGAGGGGGGGAACACACGAAAAGGCAGCATTTTCTCATGACAAATAAAAAACCAAAACCATAATCCTATTGGTAGTGATTCTGGCAGCCACCAGAACAATTTGGAGTTCAAAGTAGCACTAATTAATATGGAATACACAGAACAAAATATTTCCACATTTTAGAACACAATCATTTATGTTACTATGTGAATCTATACACACATTGCAGAACTAGAAAAATCAATTGTGATTAAATAAAAACCATGAAAATAATGAGTGTAATTAAGGTTCAGGCATCAGAAAATGTATCTTCACTCTTGCATGGAGGATAAACTAATGAATATTTTAAAGCCATTTGACACTGCTATAGTGCCTTTGAAGCACGTATCTTTTGACTTAGACAAAAATGTTGTAGACAGAAACACTTTCCTTTGTTATTAACAAAGTGAGTAAACAGTTAAATCTTGAAATTAACTTTTAAGCACAAAACAAAAAAACACTAAGTCCCATCAGTGCTACAGGTGCTGTTATGAGAGTCCAAACCCACTCACTGATATCTTCTGTTAAGGCAAATGTAGAGTTTCAGAAGTACATATGCTGAGGCCAGGCAGAGGTGGTACACACCTTTTATCACAGCACTCCAGAGACAGAAGCAGGTGAGGCCAGCCTGGTGTACAGAGTGAGTTAGTTCCAGGACAGCTAGGCTTACACAGAGAAACCTGTCTCAACCTGCCCCTTTCCCCAAAAAAAATTATGCAAGAGACATATACCTTAATCGCCTTGAATCTTGACACATCATTATCTGCAAACTGCTGTAAAACATGCCTTGCAGAAAATCCAAAGGTGCACAATCCATGTAATATGGGCTTCTCAAAACCTAAGAAGATTTGGATACATGGAAATTTTTATACATGGAAAGTGCCATATCTAAGTATGTATTTAGTTCAGCATTTTAATGTCTTTTAAACTGCAATTTTACCATGAATTATACCATGTATTAAGAAATAGAATGCACCAAGAGAGATGGTACTACCTTTTATCACATCACTGGGGAGACAGAGGTAGGCAAAGCTCTCTAAGCTCAAGGCCAGCCTAGCCTACATACCAAGTTCCAACCTAATCAGGGTTACAGATGGAGACTGCATCTTAAAAAAAAAAAAAAAAAAAAAAAAAAAAAAGATTTTAAAAAAAAATATATCTTAGTACTTCCCAGTGGGAAATTAAGACATAAGTAACAAAAACTATTTTTGAAAAAGTTTGGGAACACAAAAAACTTTTTTTTATTTCATTTTGTTTGAGGCAAACCACAGTGAGTGATTTCATATAGCTTTCTAGCCTTTTAAGATTTTGTTCTCCCCTAATGACCTTGTCTCCCTTGAGATAGTCCCCATCCTTCCCCATAGCTTTATCCGAGGCCTTCAGTAGCAGCAGCTTCACTCTACCATCTGAATTTCAAGCAAACCACATACCATTTCCTGACTACTTCATACCTTTCTATAGCCTCTGAATAAATATGAAAACTACCTTTTCAATGCTATTCAAATTACCAGTCATAAGCATTACTTCAATATTTTTCAGTGACTCACCAGCAATGCTAGCGAAGCTAGGGTCGATGTGTAAGGGATTCCAGTCCCCGCTGAGGCGGTACAAAGCAGCCTGCAGAGAAAAATCATCACTGAACTCAGTGTTTTCTAAGAAAGCATTAAGTGTAGGACAGGAAGTGCTGCCAACTATTGATTAAAATATATAATGTACATAAATCTAGACTGTGATCAAAGAGATAACTAATTTTTACAAAAACAAAATTCCCTGTAACCTTAAGTTTTAATGAGGACTTTTGCTGTAATCAGTAGAGTGAGGGATAAAACAATAAGAAAGGAAGGCAAGAATTACACCCCCACCCCCCATCCCACCTAAAGGGAAACCACAGAAAGGGAAAACCCAATAGAGACAGGTAAAGAGTTAAAGTCTATTTCAGCCAACCAAAATCTATGCCAACTTTCTTAATTTTTTTTTCTTTGAAATCTGTAACATAATACTGGACAGATAGATAAATGTCAAAGCCTTCTCACTAACTTCCATCTTTCTGGCACACTAAATCCTGAATATCAGCTCACGCACCAAAAACAAACCAATAGCTTGCCAATATGAGTCAGTGTATGTATAGCTCAAATTTTCACATTACTAATTTAAATAGGTAAGGCAAGAAAAGCAGAAAAATGTAGGGAAAGCCATCATTTTCTGGTATTTAAACCATGCAGTTCTCAACCTAGAATGTTCTCCAGGGTTAAAGGGAAGAAACTCATGAGACAGCTGGGCATTTAATGCATCTTTATAATAGCTTGTTACAGTCTGCCGGACCTGCCTCAACATCTTTTCCTTAACAAGTCTGCTTACGTGAGAATTTCACTTTTCAGTGGCTCAGTATTCTTTACAAGATTCTGTGTGTTAGAAAATAAAAGTTATTTCTTTCAAAAGCCATACACAAACAGTTAACACTAGGAAACTACACACTATCTGCTATCGTGTATACTACGAAAAAAGACACATCTCTGGATCAAAATGAGAAGTTGTCAGACATGACCTACATAATCGGCTTTGATTCCAGAGGGACTAGAATCCACATCCACCCTATCACTGCTAAGCAAGTTTCTCCACCAAGCCTCAAGCTAGGAGGACTCACTTTCAAAGAACAACTGCAGAAATTAAATGAGATAAAACTCATGGGTATTGTCTCAGTGAACATTAGCAATTTCTAGATCTTTTTACAAGGGTTTAGCAACAGTGTAAGTCAACAAAGTCTCTGATTAGTACTTGATTAGAGCCCTGTCCACACAGAGGACAGAGTATGCATGCCTGCGGATGCAAGCCCCAGAAAAGTGTGCATGCCTGAGGATGAAAACCCCAGAAAGCATCTCTTTTGGAGAAGAGGATAAGACAAAAATATCCCCCAAGAAATTGCATGGGACTGAACTAGACCTTCTGAATATGGGTGACTGTTATGTTGCTTGATCTGTTGGGGGTACCTGGCAAAGGTACCAGAACCTATCCCAGGTACATGAACTGGCTTTTTGGAGCCTATTCTCTATGGTGGGATACTTTGCTCAGCCTTGATACAGGGGGTCCTGCTTCAACTTGTTATGCCAGACTTTGTTGACTCCCTAAGGAAGGCCTTACTCCTTCAGAGAAGTGGATGGAGGGAAGGGGTGAGGAGGGGGTATGGGAGAAGGGGAGGAAGGTGGAATTGGGGTTGGTGAGTAAAATGAAAAATAAATTTAAAATAAAAAAAAATGAAAAGCACCAAGGTGGAATTTGAGGCCCTGCTGAGACAAAGAAAGCTAAAAAACCATTCCAAAACAAAACAGCTCCCTACAGTACTCTCTACAGCCATCCATCAAGGAAGTAGCAAACAGCATTTTGCTATGGGGAAGGGATGCCACAGTTCCAAACTAGCAATCTTGGTAGCCAAGCCATCAGCACAGAGGTAAGCAGATGGTGTAGCTTTACAGGACTGCATCTCAGTGTTGTTCTCGCTGCTGCTGATGGTTCTGTCTCCCTCCAGTACGCTGATCTGTTTGTCTTTCTCCCAACTACTCTCTACCTATCCTTTCAGTTATTGCCCTCATTTTCATTTTCTTTTCTCATGTATATGGGTGCTTGGCCTGCTCGTATGTCTGCAAACCCAGAGTATTGTGTGAGAATCAAGATTCACTAGACTCAGTACAGGTGAAGTGAAGTTTATTTGGGAAGAATGCACTTACACAAGAAACAAATGACTGCCACAGGTTCCTGCTCCAAGGATGCCAACCCTGCCGCCGCCGGGATGCTCTCTGTGACCCACAACCAGAGCAGGAAGCAAGAGAGAGCTCTAAGACCCAAACCTAATCTTTATCCCTTGTCAAGTAGGCACCTGTGACCACGCCCCTTTGGGTGTGAAGATGGATGTCACTACACCAGAAAGACCAAAAGAAAGTGTTGGGCCCCTAGAACCAGAGTTACAGAACTTTGTGAGCTACTTTGTAGGTGTTGGCAATTGAACCCGATTCCGGTAGAAGAGCAAGCCAGAGCTCTTAACCCCTGAGCCATCTCTCCAGGTTCCTTCATTTTCTATTTCATTGTTCCTTTTCTTCCTCAGTTTCTCAACTTATTACACTAAGTCTGTTTGTTTTTAATTGTTGCCTTTCATCTCCCATGTGTCCTTAACAACAGGGCATCTCCATATCCCTTTTATGGTTCCCATGGGGGGTGTATCACTTATACTGTATGTTACTTCTGCCCTTTCAGTCTCTAGCCTAGTCATGGGTTTACACTTGGCTATTTCAATCTGTCAGTCAGTGTTCCTCAGAAACCGTTTAGATGAAGCTCCTTCATGTGGAGTATTCTTTTAGAAGGGTTGATGCAAACTTTGATTTCCCAAGAATGGTGCCCCACTTCCACCCGGCTCTGAAGGAATCTGATGCCCACCTATCTTCTTCAGCAAGTTAGCTCATCATTATCTTTCAGGTCCTCGAGGTTATTTTATCATCTTTAAAGTCGGTTTTACCAGGATCCCTCTCAGTACTAACTTACTGAAAATTTGCATTTCCTGGTCTATGCAAGCAATGCAGACAGTCCTGTGAAGCATTTGTGACATTTTAGATTTTCAGCCCCATAAAGGGATGGCCTAAATCTGAAAGGGTCCCCAAAAAGAAGACCCTGTTTTGAGTCATATCTGCTGTCGATTTAGCACAGAAATGATTTTAATAAACAATTATATTTTAACGGGAAATACAACCGACTCAATAATAACTGAAATTCTGACAATATAATCAGCATTAGACATATGTCTAGTGAAACTACAGTTTGTTTCTCATTCTCCTCAAATACAATGCCTGGTATTGAGAGCCGTTCATTGTTTGGCCTTTTTACATCACTGCACAGAAATCTTTATTCTTCATGAAACACTTGTTTTACTTGTACGGTCAAAGTCAGCTACCAGTGAAGAAACTCTCCTCTATGGACATTTAAACAGCATATCTGGGAAGTGGCATTTATAAGGCTAAAACTATACAGTTGTGTTTGCTTGCTAAATAAAAAGATACTAACATAAAAAAACCAGCATAAATTTATTCTTTAGTGGCACAATTTTTCCATTTTTTTGTAAAGATCTGCCCACACACATTGTCCTCCATTACCCACCAATGTAAATGAGACTTCACCCTTCACATTTGCTGATGCCCATCATGCTTCCCCCTCTCTGCACTCTGCTGTACTTCTCAACCTCTTCCCTGACAACCTGAAAGCCCTGTATCTCTGAGGAGGGAACATCCACACACCATCTTTCTGCCAAGCCAATCATCGCCAGCAAACCTTTCCGCCTATCACTCCAAGGAGTGCCCTTCTCCAAGGACTTACTCTACAAAGCAAAGCCTTGTGTTTCATTTTTCCGTGCTTGGAATAAGATGCTGGAGTCACTCCTAACGACATACACAGGTATAGGGTATGAACAGAACAGTATATGAGCCTGATGGATCAGTACTTCTCACCTGATTTAGTGAAGTGCTGTCCCTCAATACAGCATCAGGGGGTCGTTTTGGTACAGCTACAGCTGCCTGGAATCAGAAGACATTGTGTGTCAGTTTAAATATATATGATTCTCTAACAAAACTGACATCCAATAAACAACGATGTGTCAATAAACTCTGCAAACTGGATAAAGGATTTTTTAAATGTACAGAGAAAAATGATATTTAAAATTTCATAACTCCTAACTTTTTTAAATTATAATTTTTCTAAAATGATTCTTTTCAATATAAGAAATATTATCAGAACTATTCTCAGGTCACAGAGGACAAAAGACAGTTTTTTCTATGCAAAAAGAAGATGACAACAATTTACATATTTTAGTTTGCCATGTTAATAAAAATAATACATTATCAGCTTTTTTAATTTGATTTTAATTATTAATTATGTGGAGGGTACACAGGAATGCAAGTGCACATGGGGGCACACACCTTCAATCTCAGCACTCAGGAGACAGAGGCAAATGTATCTCTGTGAGTTAAAGGCCAGCCTGGTCTACAGAGCAAGTTCCAGGACAGCCAAGGCTACACAGAGAAACCCTGTCTCAACAAACAAAACAAAAAAAGGGGTATGGGGGAGAGGGGGAGAGGAGATCAATTGTGCCACTATTACACAGTTGTTAATAATAAAGTCAGCTATTCTAATTACAGCATTGATGATTTTTCACTATGAAATACTAAGTTTAGATATCACCAAGTTTCTTCCAAAAATCCCAAAAACACAATCCTAAAAGGCCACAAGGAAAGAGGCTGCTTCCACAATAAGAGACTGCTGCTGCTTTTCAAAAGCAATTTTAACTTCTTTTTAAGTGTGTGATGTGGGGGCTGGGGGAATAGCGAAGGGAGAAAGGAAAGCTACCAAGGAAAGACTCAGTCAGAGTCTAGTAAGGAAATCTTATAGAGTGAAGGAAGCTGGGTACAGGGGCTCACGCCTACAACCCTAGAACCCTGGGAAGCTGAGGCAGGAGGACTGCTACAAGTTTGAAGCCAACCTGCTCTATAGAATTAGATTTCATCTGAAGAACACAAAAAGGGGGTGGGGCTGGAGAGACAGCTCAGCAGATTGAGTATACACTGCTCTTGCAGGAGACTCGTTTGGTTCCCAGCACCCACCAGGAGTCTGATGCCTCCGCTTGCCAGACATCTGTAGATCCCACACACATACAAATAATTTAAAGAAAGTAGACAGTGGTCACTAGACAGGAAAGATGTGGTAGAAAGGAGTGCACAACCACAAACCAGCCAGTGTGGACCAGCAAGCAACATTTATCAAGAGCATGAAATTCCCAAAAAACAAATGATCTATGTTCCAGGATATGCTTTTTTCTAACTTACATTTTGAAACATATACTGAGTTGCTATCATATGCCCCATTAAAATGTACAAACATTACACCTCAAAAAAAGTCTTACTTTGAGTTTTTCTGACGTCCGTTTTCCACCAAAGCCCCCAGAGCCAACAACAAAAACAGAGAACTGATTATAGCATATAAGTTCCTTCCCAGAATAAGAATGGACTATAAAAGAAGCAAAATAGAAAAAAGAATTATTACACACAATATGTCTAGTTAGTGAAGACAGGCTTAACAATTTCTTCAATAATTAAATAAACAAAATACGGCTAGTGCAAAGGTTAGCATTTACAGTGAGCATGGGGTTTTGCAAAGCTTGACTAAGGTGTGCTCATCTCCAGACTCTGGCAGCAGGGAGAGCTCCCCAGCCCTTCACCATGAATGGTGGGGATTTTACCTCTTAAATCCCCCAACTAGCACATATATCTCAAGGTTTATCTGCCACCAACATTTCAAACAATTCCTCAAGGAAATTCAAGCTACCACACTCAAACTTTGAAGCACTGTCAAAGCACTGCAGAAGAACATGGGACTTAAAGAGACAGTGCCCATGAATGGGATACAGGAATGGCCCATCAGATCCCTCCTGCCTGTTTAGTTCACCACTCTATCCCTAGGACAAAGAATGTACAATACAAAGAAGGTTCCTCCTGCCTCAGCCAACTGAATGCTGAGATCATTATCAGGTGCAACCATTCATGGTTTTTAATGCATTTTTACCAAAATTATTTCAACTTCCAATGTGTTTACCAAGATGCAACCCCATGGTAAGTCAAGGAGCACTGGCATGGTCTCTAGTATTTCCCTCAGAAACAACAAATCCGGCAGAGCTGACATTTCCACAGTTCTTAGGAGCAAACTTTACACCTCTATTTCTTTTCTTCTTCTTAAACTTAATAAACTTCTGCACTATCTTAGCTTACGTTTAATTACTTACACTTTATTAACTCAATACTTATTATAAACTACAAGCTTTTTTCTACCACAGATAAAATGTGGCTACAATGTTTAAACTATATTATGAGTTCAACAGTCTTAAATGCAGTCTAGAAATCCAACTGCAATCTAGAATAATCAAGTTCCAAATAGCTAACACAGAAAAGAGCATCAATAACACAGCCCAGCTGCATCAACCCTGCCGCAGTAGGAATAACTCTTCCTGTGATCTATACAGGGACACATACCTCATTTCTGTGCTTTAGTTATATTGTTTCAACCCTCTGACATTTCCCATCTGCCCTAGCCTTAGCCCCAACTCCCCCTCCTGCCTTATGTTTGTTAAAGACCCTATGATTTTTAAAAATGCTTACTTTGCTCTTACAAATTATAAAATGAATATAATGTGGATCAATCTCTGTGGTGAAGAATGTTGCATGCAAAACCTATCACTCTAATGATATCATTATAAAAATTACAGATGTCTTACCGTCCATAACAATCACTATGCCAGATCCTTTATCCAGGATGTCAGCAACAACTGCTTCACATTTTAGTTCTCCTAAAATTAAAGTAAGATAAATAATTACATTAAGACATCAAGGAATCTACCATGGTTTCCACTTGCTTCAGCAAAGCTAAAAAATTGTGGTTTTAAATATTTCCCCTAACTTACCACTAAAAAAGTGTAATTGCTTCTACAGAACATGTAAATCACTAAATTTGAAACACTAATATTTCTGATATGAAATTTTGAAACACTAATATTTCTGGTATGATTTTCTTTAAATTGTCATTTCCAATGATGGTGACTCCTCTTGCATCTAAATATCAGGTAAGCACCAATCCCATTTACCTCATTCCTTCTCAAATCTCTATAGCTTCTGTGAAACATGTTCTAAGTATTCTTCTCTGAACTTTTGATTCCTCATTGAACTGGTTAAACTCAGTGGGTGACAAAACAAAAGCAAACACAAAAAAATAAATAACAATTGGGGAGAGCTTGTGGAGAGAAGGCAGTTGGGAAGGGTGGGAGAAAGTAAGAAGGAGGGGGTGAGGATCACCAGAAAGTATTAGATACAAGTATGAAACTGTCAAATATTCATTTCTTTAAGACCTGCCTTTCTCTTTTACCTACACACTGGACTAACACCCAGTCCCCAACCACACAACTTGAACATCAGCTTTGACTCACAGAAAGCAAATCCATGTTAATACTTGAATGTACAGAGATAGGTAGATTTTTATCTCAATCCCAAATCAAAGTCTATGAACTGCTATTTGAGGATTTAATAGGGAAACAGCATACGCATTTGCATCTTAGATTCAGCAATATGGCTGCAGTGAGGTGAAAGTCCCTTTGGAATAGGAATAGAGGTAGAAGACACTGAGAAGGTGAGGGAGGAACAAAGTCAGCAAGAGGAGGGGAAGCAGAACAGAAAGTGAAGGCTCCGGATGCACAGAGAACCAACTTCCTAAGTATCTACCAGTGGGAGACAGTGAAAGAGAAAAGCAATTCAAAGACCTTCGGAGTGATGCTTCCCCAAACCAAGCTTGTTGATGACTGTTCCTTCAGAATGGAGACCAAGCCTCGTTACCTGACTTTCAAGGCCTGTGACAACCCATCTTGCCTCTTTCTATTCTCAAACCTTGCTACACTCCCAACTCATCCTTAAGGAAGGGAGAACTGTCCTCAGACCCCAACAGCCTCTACCTCCAGAGTGCTAGGATTGAAGTGGTGCCACCATGCTTGGCTTGAATCTTAAATTTTCTGTATTCTTATTTCCTAAAGAATAAAATTTTAAACTACATAACAAACACAAAGAGACACTACTGAAGACAAAGAACTCACAAGAAACACAACTTGAGGCTAAAGATGTATAAGAAATCAAGAAAAGTATTATCCATACCTTCCTAATATATCAAGTATAACTGTAATCATTTGGAGTATATAATCCCTAAGGGCAATATTTAATACACATCTACTTACTTAACAATGGTTCCCCAAATGAACCCACTAAGCTGGCTATGCATGAAACATACAGGGACCTTTATGAAATCTCTCACACACACAAACAAACAAGATCTAGGGCTATGGCACAGAATTTATATTTCACTAAAATAGAAGGTAATATAATAGCCCAGATAATTCTGACATAGCCAGGTTTGTTTTTGTTTTTGTTTTTGTTTTTGTTTTTGTAAAGCATCTAACATCTGATACTATAACATTCTACCTTGGAAATGTTAAGTAATTCCATAGTCACCATAAACTGTGTATTGTCTCAGACTAAATAAACAGACTAGAAATATACTCTGCAATATAATTAAACAAAGCTATTACACTTTAAAAGCAATTAACAAAGCTCAGAGTTTAAGGGGGCTACTTGCTGATTCTATATTATATGATGTGAAAAGATACTAAGTCCTCCTTTGCTTTTAACCACCTTATTTGGCAACACACACACACACACACACACACACACACACACACACACCCTGGGCAAACATTCTGACATCAAAAAATACATAAAATTTTGTGAAAGAATAAAAATATGGGGTGGGTACATGTCCTCTCTTATCTGTAATTCTTAGCTCCAAATCCTCAGATATAAGCATACAACATGGAATAATCACCACAAAAGCTGCAAAGTATAAAGGAATAATTGGGGACTGGGGAAATGGGAAGATAAAGGAATAATTGGGGAGTGGGAGATGGTAGGGGAATCGCAGAATACAGGCGATATGAAGTAGAAAATGGAACGATGAGGAAGGGGTTCCAAATGCAAAGGAGGGAGTGAGGTCAATACAGGAGGAGGAGGGACAGGAAGAGGGACAAAGAGCACCAAGGTTGTTTGATAAAGCCTTAAGGCATCATACTGTTTTCTATTTACCTAAAGTTATATACAATACATAAAAATGTATGTGCATATGCATATAAACACACACAAAATAAAAGAAGTTAAGTTACTTTGGATAATGCTCCCCAACAAGAGCCATAAACTAACAAAAAAAAAACAGTACTGGGCATGTGAAACATCCTTCTGAATGGTTGGTCAGGGTAATTCAAGTAGCTCCCAAAACAATATTATTGATATAGCCCTTGGTTGCTTCTCATGGGTTGGCCCCTATTGCTGAAGACACCACACACTTAGACCTGGACCTAACCTGAACACCTTTTTTCTTCATTCTAGCTTCCATGGTTCCAGAAAATGCAAACTATTAGGGGAGGAGTGCCATTAAACAGTTCTATGCAGATGCAATACCCATAAACCCTGGCAACTGCCATCATGACAAGACACGCATAAAGGTGTCACAAGGGTGCATATAGCTGAAGGGTGGTAACCAACGGCTGTCTAATTGGACTAAGGACCACTCAACATGAGGGAAATCATGCCTGGTACTGGAAATCTAGCCAGCTTCCTGGGTCTAGTAAGGTCATGGACATTAGAAGAGAATACTACCCCAATGTTCCAGACTAGCATAATTCCTTACTACATTCTAAATCTTACCTTTATACCCCCAGGCAAGTGTAGCTACCACCCTTCGTCAAAGAAACCTCTCTCTATAGCAAATGAAAGTGATCAAAGAAAACCATAACGGGACACAATGTACAGATCAATGGATGGTAGGGATCCAAGCCCCAATAATTATATCTACATCACATGATCAACAGATCATGGAAAACCCAGCCCCCGTGGAAACATCTACATCACAACTCCTCCATCTATGGCTCAGGACACATCATGAAGAAGGAGGCACAAAGACTGAAAGAGCCAGAATTTCAGGAAATCTCCTATGACACAGTCTCTCCTAGATATGACTGAATACGTAAGGCTAGTGCAATGGCACTGTCAATGGACTTGTTAACATAAAAGGAAGGAAATTCCAGAGTCCCACTCCTTCACAAAGAACTATAGGCAACTATAGTTAAGGAGGAGAATTATCCTCTCCCAGGAGACTCAAAGATGAGTAGCTGAGAGGTACTAGAGGGCTGGAGGGGGTGATGTAAAGCTGTTTCAATTAAATACATATTTTAAATGAAAAAGATGGAGCTGGGGACATAGTTCAGTCAGCAGGGTGCTGCCTACTATTCAAAGTGGTTCCATCCTAAGCACCACACAAACCTTGTGTAGTTGCTCAAGTCTTAACTCCAGTAATCAGAAAATAGGAGGAGGAGGGTCAGAAGTTCAAGGTCATCCTGTGCTAGAGAAAAAGTTGGAGGTCACCCTGGGCCACAAGAGGCCTTATCTCAAAAAAAAAAAGAGAGATATAGACAGACAGACAGACAGAAAGAGAGAGAGAGAGCTGTGTGAACATCCAAAGTATTACTGAGAAAAGAAAAAAAATGATTAGGTAGGTTTGGTTTTCTTTTCTTCCAAGGGAATATGAAAAATTACAAATGCTGTATCTTTCAGCATTGCTTGCTTTATGCAAAACAACCACAGGAACTGTAACTGATACACAACCATAAAGTATATATGTCACTACAGATAAACTGGTAATATTAAATCAATAGCTTTACTGTTAGTGGAAGACAATTAGGGACTGGTTAACATCACTGACTCTGAGGTTACACATGGATGCTTCTGATACCTTGTTGGGTTGGACTATGCCAATTTAACATAATGGGATGACTTGGGAGTTAATCAGAAAATTAAACATAGAACTAGGCAATTAGTTCACATAAACTCACCTGATCGAGGAAGTGGTTTATACAACTCCAAGTATTGCTCCCCATGAAGAACCTATGTTACAACAAATGCAATTTTATTAGCAAACTCTCTTGAACCAGTGTCAAACTGTGAGTACTACTAAGCACAGGTAATATTTTACTATCCACACACCACATCAGTATCCTTCCTGTGTCATCTGTCTCAGTATGGTTTTTACTTCTTAATCATGCAATGCAGAAATAATTAGCATGCCAGCATAAAGACAAACAGATCTTTTGGAGTAGAGAAGATAAATTTGTGCTCTTAGAATTCAGGCATCCTTATTGACTATACATGGTGGAACCACTCAATCAGGCTCTGTTCCAGGTGCTTACAATAATGCCTAGAACATATTGGGTATTCAGTAAATATCCACTCAGTAAAAATGAACCAATGGGCCAGGGTGGTAACTTTAAGTTACACAGAGTAGAGATGACTCAACTAAAACACAAAGATAAACCTTATCAGCATATCCAAAGGCAAAAACACCATTAATGTCAATATTCCCTCTGTATATCTCAAAGAGTAGAAACCAAGTACTGCAACCTGAGCTCAGTGCAGCAAAGCACCACATGCAAGTAAACCTGAGTGGAATGTCTACATCCAAGTGCCTGCATCTACTACAGCAGGACAGCTCTCCACTCTTCCCCAAAACACAGAAGGAAGAAAGGAGTGGAGCACGGATGATAGGAAACAAAAGGAGTGCATTTCACACTGCGCCATGCTGCCCTGAAACCCAAAACAAGGAAAACTGAGAAACAGATTTCCAGATGGCTGTCACTATTGACCACAGACTGTGAACATCTTACCTGATTCAGCATATAATACAGGAGAGGGATTAAGAAGGCAGAGTGCCCGGCACAGGTTTCCAACCCTTCCTCCCAATGTTATCAAATATTCTAAGAAAATGAGTTCCTATTACTCCAACAGGAAAGCCATCAGCAATGGGCTGATCAATTCAACCTGATAGAATGCCCATAGTGATGAGTCAAGTCACCACTGCTGGAGTCGGCTCACACCTACATATGGAACTAAAACAGACCCTAGGTCAAGTTTTCTTAAGTTATTTCTTCCTTCTTGAAATATTTTATTCTGGCTTTTTTAATGTCAAGTTGTTGGTGCTGTGGACCATCCTACCCAATTTGTTTTGCTAATTTTTCCTCATCTCTTCAACTTCTAAACACTTCAGGGCCCTAAACTCAGGCATCTTCTCTACCTAAATTCACAGATTAGGTGATGATAGCTAGTCCCACGCTTTTAAACATTACCTGAATGCAGAGGATCCTGGTTAGATCTTTCCTTACCACCCTAGACACCATCAACTATGCCTTCCTCATCTCCACTTAAATAATACCAGACAGCTCAGCCTTGTTCAAAACAAACTCCTGACCATCCTTCCTTAGGACAAGTACATGCAGGCTGGAGAGATGGTTCAGTTAGCAGTGCTTGCTATGGAAGCATGAGGGCCGGAGTGTACCCAGAACCCATGGAGAAGACCCAGATGTGGCAGTAAATGCTCAAAATCACAGTGCTGGGTGGGTGAACACAGGCAGATCCCACCTGGGCTTGCAGCCAACCAGCCTAACCTAATCAGCAAATCCAGACCAATGAGACCCTGTCTCAAAAACAAGGTAGATAGCACCTGAGAAATGGCACCTTGTGCTGACCTCTGGCTTCTGTGGACACCCATACATGTAAGTACCCACATGCACATGTACACATTACAAGAAAAGGTAGGTGTGTGTGTGTGTGTGTGTGTGTGTGTGTATGTGTGTGTGTGTGTGTGTGAAACTATGAACGACAGAACATGCCTATAATTCAATTCTAGCACTCAGACAGATGAGACAGGAGGATTCCAAGTCTAAGGTAAGAATGGGCTATATAGCAAAACTGTCTCAAATTATGCAGGGGGAGGCATACAATAATGTATCATATGCAAATACTATATAGTAGGTATATATTAATATATGTATTTATACATAATTATATCTACATGATTTCTGTTGTTTTAAACGATCACCTCCCTCCTTACCTTCTTTGTACTTTAGTTTAGAGCTTTTGCTTGGATTACTACAATAGACTCCTCAATGGTTTCTCAGCTTCTGCACTTGCCTCTCATACTCTTCTCCACACAGGAAGATTGAGTCAGAAAGTGAACATGTCTGGTTCACATCACTCCTCCCATGCTCATTAAGAGCATCAGCTGAAGGGAAGCTAGACATTCATCCCATCCCTAGCCATGAAGCTATTGGCAATTGGTAGCCGTCTGGGAAAAGGAGAGACAGTTTTCTCTAAGAGCATAGCTCTGGTATATTAACCAGGCTTCAATCAAAGACTGCACATCCAATAATACATGGGCAGCACAAATTGGTCTTGTTGAGCTTTCAAAAAATAAAGAAAGGACTGGATAGATAGCTCAGTGGTTACGAGCACTGGCTGCTTTTTCAGGCATCCTGAATTCATTTCCCAGCAACCACATGATGGCTCACAACCATCCTGGTGCCCTCTTCTGGCCTGCGGGGATAAATGCAGACAGAATCCTATACACATAATAAATAAATAACTCTTTTGAGAGAGGGAAGGAGGGAGGGGAGGGAGGGAGACAAAATTGGGTGGGTAGAAAATGGGAGGTGAATCTGGGAAGAGTTGGGGGTGAAAGAATGAATATGATCAAAACACACTGTATGAAACTCTCAAAGAACTAGAAAAAAATTAAAGGAAATCTTATGGAGCAAAAGGAGTATAAACTAAAATTCTTATAATTGCCACAAGGCTTCCTTCTCATAAGAGCCATGAATAGGCCCTCTCTGTACTCTACAGTTAAGACTGATGCAGTGTTGTTCCAAAACAAGTCAAGTACATGCTACCTCGGGGCCTGTTTATGCTAGAGATCCATCCCCCAGATAATTAGTGGGTGTTCTCCTTCATCACTGTCGTAAGGTAAAGATTGCCTATAACTCTATGAATAAAGAAGCCAAAGCCTAGAGCAGTTACTTACAATTACAGTAACAAGCAAATGGTAGAGACAGAATTAACATTATCCCAGGATTACAGGACTGCATATGAGTATTTTCTTCACAGAATTTTAAACTAACTCTCCCCTATTTTATTTGTGAAAAGAAAAATCAAAAGATATATTAAATCATTATTCCTAAGCCAACCACCATAGTCAATTTTACTTCAATATAATCTTTATATACATGTGTGTGTATTCATATTATATATAAATTGTATGTATATATGTAGTTTGTAATAATAATATAGTATGAGACATTCATCAACAATACTTAAACAGGGAAAAAAAATAACCAAAAGTTTCTTAGTAGGCATACCTTTGCAAAGTTGATTGACAGCCCAGGAATCTCTGCTAGCCCTCCATTCATCATGGCCTTCTGAGCAATGATAACTCCAAAGGTGGGCAAACAGGAGAAGTCAGCACTTCCTTCATACACAAACTTCAAATCCTTTGGATTCTTGACTGAAGCACCTACTCCAAGGGCATACATAATACTCTCCAATTCCGTATATGAAGAAGAAAATGAAGGAAGCTTATAGCCAACAGCACGAGCCTAAGAGAAAAACAGGAAGACTATTGCCCTCCACAGTAACATCACATCTGTTGGCCGCAATGTTCTCAGGCTCAACATCAGATTTCTAACAGATAACTACAGCTTCCTGGGTCACAAAATACCAGGGCAATGTGTAATAAATGATTTTTCTCATATACTACACTTCCTTTTTTTCCTTTTAATAAAAAAAGATTTTTTTCTCACATAATATAAGCTGATTACAGTTTCCCCTCCCCTCTACTCCTTCCCATTCCTCCCCACCTCCCCTTCATCAGGATCCACCCCTTTTGTCTCTTGTTAGAAAACAGGCTTCTAAGGAATAATAATAATGTAAAATATAATACAATATGATAGAATAAAGCAAAAACTATCACATGGAACTGGGATAAAAAAAACAGAAGGAAGGGTCCAAGAAACAGGTAACAGACACAGAGAGCCACTCGTTCACACACTCGGGAATCCCACAAAAACACTAAACTGGAAGCCATAATGCATAATATATACATCAAGAACCTGTAGGGTGAAAAGAGAGAAATATATATACATATATAATAAAAATTAGTTTTCTTATATTAGTTTTATAGATAATAAAAATAAAGATAAAGCTATATATGTGTACATAAATTATACACATATACATATATTTATATCTCCTGACCTGACATTATAATCATCCAGTTGGCAAGAGAAAGGGAAACATGACCAAGAACCTGTAGGACAGAGTCCCCATGAGCCATCGATGCCATCCCCCAAAAATTTGTCAAAAAATTAAAATCTATTTCAAAAGCACTTAAAGTTAATCATGAAGAAGAGAGAGTGAATGGGCAGAATGAGGACTGCACATGGAGGTTGACTGACGGGAGCACCACACATGAACACTCGATCCCACGTAATGGCAGACTGACGGGAGCATCACACATGAAAACACTTTTCATCTACAGTAGAGGAAACAGCTTTCTTTCTCTTCCATCCAGTATCTTCCTGTGTTACTTTTCAAATAGCAGCTGGGCATTGGTGGCGCACGCTTTTAATCCCAGCACTCGGGAAGCAGAGGCAGGTGGATCTCTGTGAGTTCGAGGCCAGCCTGGTCTCCAGAGCAAGTGCCAGGACAGGCTTCAAAGCTACACAGAGAAACCCTATCTCAAAAAACCAAAAGAGAGAGAGAGAGAAAAATAGCAAGGAGAGTGTCAGCTAGCTACCCCTAAAACAGCTCCTACACTTATCACACAGAAATGCCCAGGGCAGAAGCTGAGCAGCTTTGGAAAAAAAAAACACCCAAATCCCCTCTCTCCTCTCAAAACAGATCTCCATCAATGCAAAAAGCATAGTACAGGCCAGAAAAATCTCCAAGGAAAGGTGGAAAAGAAGAATAGAGTTATGTGAACAGCTTCAGAATTAACTTCAGGCCACATGCTCATGTGGTCGTCGTGAATTCCCTGTATGTCACACTTAGCCTTATTCCAAAGACAATCATAAACAGTTTCTGAAGACATACCACTAATTTTCTCCATGAGGAACGACACTGACTCTCTCCAAAAGGAAAGCTAAAGGAAGGGAGGGAGGGAAGGAGGAAGGGAGGGAAGGAGGAAGGGAAGGAGGGAGGTAGGGAGGGAGGGAGGAGGGACTGTAGGTTGGCTTCAGGCACTTCCCCAACTTACAAATCCTGATGTGGCTGTAGATGTCGAATGACTGGTGTGATTTTGTGAGACTCCTTCTGAATCTATCTTATGTAAAATTTCAATTACACGACCCGTTGATTCTACAATTAAAAAGATAGAGCTTTGCTGTGAAACCCTAGTAAAGAAAACTGCAATGTGCTAAAGAACATCCACCACACACTTCCACTGATCTTTCTCTTCCAGTGGATGGCCCAACACCCATGACACTCAACTAAATGGGTTATTAAAAAAACACCAACAAAGAGGACATGAAGTTGAGACTGGAGTACAGGTAGGAAGATAGAAAGTGGACATGGGAGCAGTTAGAGGATGGAGTGAGGTGAATATGATCAAAATACGCTGTACACATGTATGAAGTTTTCAAAGAATTAATTGAAAATATATTTTTAGAAGGATTCCACATAAACTGGATTGTACTTGGTGATACAGTGCTTGCCCAGCATGCCCAAGGTCCTGGGTTCTACCCTCAGCACCAAAAAGATAAATACATGTAAAATGGTCTCTGCCTCAAAGGAACTTAACATGCAGTTAATAAGCCATACATCTGGAACAAAAGCAGTAAGAACAGTTACCATTAGATGTTCACATGGTAGGAGTTCAGCTAACAGAACATAACACAGGCCAGAATATGTGGGAATATCTTGCAGAACACTTGGGGTCTGAATTTTTCTAAAGAAGTCCTAAAATTGTATATAGGTGACAAAAGGAGGAGCAGGTGGGATAGAAGAGAGAACAGCAAAGGCAATGAGCTGAACCAATGCCACTGTAACTTAACAAGAGAGTTAAGCCTAAGCAAAAAAAAACAAAAAACAAAAAACAAAATACATGCCTCTTAGGGCAATAGAGAAAGCTGCATGAGACTAAGAACACGTGTCTAGGGGCTAGATAGATGGTTCCAAGGTTAGGCGTGCATACTGCTCTTACAGAGGACCCACCCACACTGGAGAGTTCACAACCTATAACTCCAGCTCCAGGACATCTGATGCCCTCTTCTGAACTCCAAAGGTGCATAGACTAATGTATGTGAGCACACACACACACACACACACACACACACACACACACACACCTTAAAGCTGAATTCTCAAAAAATAAAAACAAGCATATGGCTAGAAAATAGACTTCAAAACCAACCACCATTTGGGAAGAGAGTGCATGTAGCACAAATGACTATACCCGCCCCACACACTGCCATCCATCCACCAGAAACACACTAACCAAACACACAGGACTAAGATACACTGAACAACGTAATATGACTATGAGAATAACAACACTATATCCTAAGTACGAAGTGGAGCAGAAACTGTATGTTCCCAAGACCCAAGTGCCAGCTAATGCACAATTGAAACAGATGAAACTGCATTTGGAGAAGACAGCTTGTCACCTCTGCTCCCTG